TATTTCATTTACTAATTGGTATTATTATAAAGTACAAAGTTGTATCGCCCTATTTCGTTACAAGAATAATAATAATTAATTAATTAATAATTATTATTAGTCTCGACTACACATGGGAGGTACTGCGAGCGTCGGAATCTATTTTGCTACGGCTGTGGTGAACCTTACTCCTTCAGAATGGCAACCCATAAAGGGTTTCCAAGTTTCCTAATGCTTGGTTGATGACGTCATGCCCGTTATGCTATTCGTGTTGTTTTTTAAACCAGAGTGAGTGAGAGGCAAACAAGCATACGACCTATCTGATAGTGAAGGGTTAACTTTAAAAGCCTGAAATACCGGTGCTCTCACGTTGCTGACTCTTAAAAACCATATTATAAATTTTTAGAAAAATTCTATGTTTCAATTTCTAGAAAAAACTTGGGCAGGAAGTTCAATCCACTATTTGAGTATGCGCGGGAGGAAATTCCTTTGAAAACGCAGTGCGCGACGCCTACCATTTTTCACCCGGTGGAAAATAGTACGTGTCACCAATTATAATGTAATACAATGGTGACCAGATCATTCTGACGTAAAAATCACGCACACCAAAAGCACGGATGGTGATGAAACGCTCCACGGCGACAAAATTCCGAAAGACCGTTGGTGCTCCCTCAGCATCACGCGCGCCATTCCTGCGCGCCATTTGCATTTTATTCGAAATTTAAATTTCAAAGGATTTATGGAATCTGTATAAGCTTGTATCTTGTATCCTATTATTTAAAAAATAATTACAAAGAACAGATATTTCTTCCTCGAGGAAATGGCCACTGATCTAGCACTAAACAAAACTAAACAACTGGAGCATGTAAAACACGTCAATGAAATGTTCTCGCTCCGTTTATTGCGAAATTAACAACTGTTCAATAAAATTATATTAACGGGAACAAATATAATAACTTCCGCCATTTTGGATGGAAACCGGGTAACTTGTTGTTATCATTTCACACGCCTTTTTATCGTCCGTCTGTATAAATTACATTTGGTGACGATATCATTATCTTTAATGAGTGTCACTCCGCGCAATCGACGTCCCAGATCAGATGTTTGGTATTTATTTTTTGTTTAAGACTGGAATGGTAAGTAACTCGCAGAGCAAGCTGCTTGGCGGCTCATATAGGTGACACAAAAGTACACAGACGATTTTGGAACCTGTTTTGTCCGATTTTGACCTTTAACAAAATCCAATACTTAAAATTTAATTGAAAATTCTAATCACAGTGATATTCTCACTCACTAGTTTGTTTTACTAAGGAATCTAATGTGGAGATATCTGTATGATCTTGTTACCACGTGCAAGGTAGACGTGGTAACAATATCATACAGATATTGATTGTTATTATTACAGATTGATTGAGTAATACAGATTGTTATTTTTTTTATCATAAGGGGAAGTCTCGCTTTTTAGTAAGATATCTTTGTCTATATGCACCTTTCATCTGTATTTACACCATGCTTGCTCATAGCTTCGAGGAAGTGTTGGTGTATTGGCGAGCATTTTAGGAAGGTGTAAACTCTTTTATATATATCTCTTTTATCTATTATAATAAATATTCCATATAGTTGAAATAGTGGATATTTTGTTGTATATCAACAAGTCTAAACTAATATTGTTAAAATTATTTATTAAATTTTTCTTTGTAATTTATAAACACGAAATTGAAAACTTTTCATTTTTAGAAAGCTTTTAAAAAAACAATATAGCTATTTTATAAAAAAAATAACAATATATGTCGTAATTAGCTACAAGTCGTTAGTATATGCATATGGCATCCGAAATATAATCATATAGTGTTATTATTGTATTATATCCATGCTTTATATGCAGTGCGTGTTATAGACAATCATTTATAATATTCCTATCGCATCGTTCTCTTGTTATTTATAGTTTGTGTGACGCAAATTGCATGCAGGAAGACGCGGCTTGAGTTCTTGCAATGCTATGCTAGATATATAACTACAAAATTCATTTAGACTACATTCTGTTGCCGAAAGAGCAACAGAATACTGATGTAAACATATTTCGTTATTGATAAAGCTAGCCTAGTGTCAGTGTTAATAATGGAGACTAGCAACTAGCGCCAGACGTCCCGTATTTCCCGGGATGTTCCGTATTTTAGGCTTAGTTTAATATGTCCCGGCGAGACTGACTCTGTCCCGTATTCGAATCATGCTCCGTTCTTTATTATTAAATCGATCGATCTACGCTAGACAATTTCTTGTCTTTTGACAATTTGTCCCGGGTAAAAAACTAAATTCCCTTATTTTTTGTCTATTTAAGCCCCTTATAGGCAGAAAAACAACTCTATTAGCAACCCTATCAATACCAATATACCACATCAACATCCACTCGGATGTCGATAGAAACTATCGTAATTTTTTTCTAATTTTTATTTCTTTCTCTGCCTTGTATTATTCTCATCTCTTAAATATGTATTCTAATATATATTTAAGAGATGAGAACTTAAATAGTTCTCATCTCTTAAATATATATTTCAGTAGATTCTCATACTTCAGCCACAATTTAATACGCAATAGTTTTTATGGTCGAATGTGTTTCTCTGGAAGGAATGATTTCGTTAGACCTAAAATCAAACAAATGGGGCCAAATCAGATATAGCATTATACGTCGTCGTCGATAGTTGGCTATGTGTCTGTCTATTCCATTTAAGATGGCAATCGTGAGGTTATATTATTATTATTATTCTATTGCCAAAAATATTTGAAGTTAACAAACCTAAAACTATCTCGCTTTGAAATGATTTATGAATATTGTTATGTTCTACGGTTCTTTGTCCCAACTAAACTATCAACTTGGACAGTTAGTCACAACTCATAGTTGATCATTAATACCGATGACTAACACGTAACTGACAAATAACTGTAGTTAGACTAAGTACCAGGTTCTTTATAGGTAGTAGACTGCGAGGGCTGACTAACACTTGTGAGGAACTATTACTTCATTCTCCTTATATCCGAAGTGAACTGGTGCAAACGAATATATATCATATTTTTTTGTGGTCTATTGTCTACTGCTCCCTCATAGCTTTAATGAACCATGATTTGCCGTGTATTATCGTTTACAATAATATAATAATTTATAATGCACATTGATGTCTCAATTTCGTCTATCGTTTATAAACCGTCTACCATCAGAGGTTTATTTGAATAAGAAGCCTAATTGCTAATGTGATTTTAAAATTTGTCAGCGAAGTTTATATAATGATTATTATATGACAATTTCTTTCCGCTCTAACGGGTCTGACGTATACCGCCAACCAAGGACAGGACACATATTGCGAAGCGCATGTCATCCCTGAACTATTGGAATGTATTCCTGGTAAATATGTAAAGTCCGACACTGTCTTGTATTTTTTTATTGATATTGTGTATGTTGTTGGTTTCTAAATAAATAAATAGTCTCAAATCTGTCGTGATCTTTACAACTCATAAAATTCCTTTTCTGTTCTCTTAACAGGTGACAATAGTTTATCAATAGTAGATAGCATCATCAAATGTTCTGTAGATATTTAGGCGATGGTATCCTTTTCTTTCTATAAAGTGTGGTGATGGATGTTTGGAAGTCCATCAGTCTTCTTTTTTCTTTCCCTGTTGGTATCATTGGGTTTTTACCAGTACTTTAAAAGTATTGATTTTTATGATATCCGAGTACATGTCCTGAATATACAATTGTCAATTCATAATCAGGATGAGTAGGCGTGATTCGCTTTGCTCTATTTTAGTCCGAAAATGTACGACAACATAATGTAACACAACAAATTCCAAAATATTTAGTGTTCTTTATAAATATTACGGTACAATTTCGTGTTTCCCTTTTATTTCATAATGCATACTTTACTACATACCTTAAAGTATTTACAGGATGTATATGTACATAAGTACATACATACCCGAAGTATAGGCGCTCTGCCCTGCCAAAGAACGGAGAACAAAGGATACTCGCGTTTGTAAAAATACGCAGCAGAATTCCACGTGTTCACAAGGCTAAGATTCAGATTCGAAGAATATTCTAGTACATGTTGAAGTATACGCAAAAGCAGTCACGAGCACAGCTTGTGGAAACTAAAATTGAATCGCTTTAGAGTGCAATAAACAATGTTTGCAGACACGCTTACAAGTCGAACAATGGCAAAGCTGTGACCTATATTTAGAAAGAGACGCTTGACCCGCTGGCCTCGGTTTCACCTGCACTGCTTGCGAAATAATACTGACACACTTCCTATCGATTTCTGGTGCCCTGGTACCTTTTCTTATCAAAACAAGTCTAATTCAACAACAATTACTTGCCTATAAATTTGTGGATTAATAGAACTCCCATAAAGATTATTATTATCTATCTTTTCTTTTTTAATAGAAATATATCCGTTTAAAAAGAGATGTTTGTCCCTGCGTTGACGTATATACGCGTATACACTCTGGCAGGGCACCAATGGAGAATGATAACATGAGTATGATCTCAGGTCCATCGTTGCGAATTCACCAGCACTATCAGTATTATCGTTTACTCCGATTGCAGATTCGGAGATGGCAAAAAACTACTATTCGTCATTATTCATAATCCCCCCGACATCCAAATTTAATTGTCTAATTATGGAGGTACATCACTACGTAGAGACTTAACACGCATGTAGTGATTCACCTACATCTACAAAACAAAGAACTAACGGAAAAATAAAAAAATGTTTGCTACTAAACCCTGCAATAGATAGATAAAAATATCTAATAAATACTGAAATATATTAATAGAAATGATAGATTGGAAAATTAACGTTCAGTTATTACGTTTCTTCCATTACTTTAACCGTTACGTTGCACCGATCAGTCGATTCAACCTTGCGAAGCCAGGGTAGCTAGTTTGAAATAGTTTATTTTGGTTCCCACTGTGGCAATGCAATAATCTGTGACCTAGTTTAAGCTGGAGCATGACCTACCGTGACCTCTTGGCCTAGGTCACCCTCATCTGATTCTCTCCGCCAGCGGCAGCACTGTCTGCATTTCACAGAACCCCAGCTGGTTTATGTACGTAAACCTAAGTAATCAATAATAACAAAACATAACATTCACGAATCTAATGCTATATGGGGTAGTCAGAGGTATTGTCAATTATTGACGTCAAGGTAAACGCAACACTTTACTTGGCCATTTAACGTAAATCTTGGCGTTAGCACAGATAATATGGCGTTAGTAAGGCATTAAATAAATACGCGTATATTTTTGATACCGAGCAATTTTAAAATACGACCTACCGCTGTCTCTCGAATTAATTTAGGCTATTATCAATGTTTCCATCGCAAAAAAGTTTGCGGGAAATATAAAATGACACAAAGTTTTTTGTCGGCTAGATTCGAACTCGTGACCTTTGTAGTCTATCAGTTGGAATAGTAAACCACTAGGATACGACGTTCTTATCTTAGTATTTTATTAGAATGTGGCCAATGAGTATCAAGACTGCTTAATAACTCAGGCCAATTAAAACTGCGGCATCTAGCTCCAAGCTAAGCAGAGCTTGTTTTATGGGTACTACTAGATAATTGATATTTGATTTTTTATGAATACATACATGATATACATAGAAAACTCCCAAACCAATACAAACAATCATACTCATGATTACAAATTTGCATTATGCGAGGAATCGAACCCGCGACCATCGAATATAAAGCGGTTTGCTAAACCGCCAGACCACCGAGGCCGTCAAAATATAATGACCTTCACCCCTTAGTAGTAAAAATATCAAAAGGTAAAATTATTTTAGCTACTAAAGGCTATTTTTGTGTCTTTAATGTAGATTAAAAAAAAGTGTATAAAAATGGATCACACCGATATAAAATGCTCGCAATTAATAATTACAGTTTAGGTAGATACACATTTAGATTGGATATTATAAGAGACGTGACATCTTTGTCTTCTGAAATTGCTGTTTCTGAAATGGGTGTGTTATGATATATGATGATAGATGAATACAATTCATGTATATATTTATATGGCGACATCAGGTGGGCCACCAGATTGAATGAGTCATTGTATATATAAAAAAAACATACTTTTATATGTACAAGTATTTTGGACTTTTCCATTATACCACCACTTCATCTCGTGTGGTAAAATTATATTTACAAAGAATGGAAACTCTTTATTTGTGATATACGAGTAAAGAATTATATGCCGTTGCCAAATAATATACTTGCTATCGTAAATAATTTTTGATGTATTCTCTACTCAGCCAACTGCTTTATGCTCATGCTATCTTTTTCCATTGATGCACTGCCAGCATTTACCATACGCACATTTTTTTTCGGACTACTCTAATTCTGTTTGTCGCAGCTGGCTTTTACAGCTTCACCGAATTATAGGGGGCGAGTGCAGATGGCACTCCAAACCCGTGAAAGGACTTATGGAGCGACTAAAGTTCAACTCCCGCCCGACGGATATGGAGCGGCACCGCTAGGAGTCGTCGTAATTTCGATCCCCGTTTGACCATTAGCACAAGTGATTCACCAATCTATATACAGTAGGAGTACCCTACTAATACTGTATCCTGCAAATTTATAAATTGCTGTTATAAGTATAGTTAACTATAAGTTATATACTATAACTTATACTAAGTTGCTGAATCTCACCATTACTCTACCTGCTAGAAACTAACCATCCTGATTATCTGGATGAATCACCGTGGGTTTGGGTTGGCGATCCTTTACCGTGGGTTTTTCCAGAATCTTTTGACACGCACAACCACATTGTGAAATCACCTTCCAGCAATAGTATTTGCAAAGCGATACAATATTGACCTCTTCAAGAAAAGAGCTTATTCCTCTTTAAAAGGCCGACAACGCACTTGCAATTCTCCTGGTGTTGCTAGTCCACATGGGGTGCGGTATTCCCTTATAATTAGGCGAACCACAAGTTCCTTTTTTCAAAATAAGCTATAAAAAAATAAATGAGATGGTCAATAGAATGTGACTTATATGGTATTACAAAATGCAACTATTTTTACATCTGCTGCTAGATTCCACGATGTGGTCACGACACAACATGTGCATACTTCTAAATAAATACAAACATTGTTATAAAGGAATTTAGGTTGAATAAATAGGAAAATATGTACCACGAATTCAAACGCAGATAACAAAATAAATAAAACATTTGTCATTTGCTGTCACATTTATTTATTACCAGCTGACCTACGTAACTTCATCTGCATCACACTTACATGACATTTATATTTATGTTGTAGTTTTATTTTATATAAGTATATATACGTAAAAGGAAAACTATAGAAAAAAACTTGAAATACGGAGATATATATTAGGAAACTATTGATAAGACAGAATAGAAGTATATACAAAAATGTACTAATATAGAATGATAAACTTATAAAAAATACATTTCCGATTAGCCAGATATAACGTTTTATGTTATAGCGAATATGTTATTCTGATGTATAAACTATATTACTGTAAAGTTTAATGAAAAACGGTTTAGTAGTTCTTGCGGGAAAGAGTAACAAACATCCATCCAGCTATCTATACTCAAAAATATTCGTGTTTATAATATTAATAAGATGTTAGTTAAATATTTTAGAAAAAGGGAACTAAGTATGTTTATGCAAAATATGTAGTATAAACTATTACGACCCGCAGACTTCGTCTGCTTTGTTTTAGATAAAAGATACTTTATGTCCGTCCTCGTAATACAATCTATCGTCATGTTAAATTATATTGAGATCTGTTTATCTAGCTGTAAAGGCGTTTAGGTATAAAAAAGGAATAAAGAGACATATAGCTCTCCCCCAGTTCTATTGAAGTCAATTGTAATGACAGATTTTTATTTAACCAAATTTTCAAAGGGAAAATGGTTTTTGTTATTTTATGGAATTAAAACCTTTTTCTAACAATTAAAAACACAAGGAAAAATGAGATAGCCAAATAGGAGTACATATACAGTATTTGATATTAACTTATATGCGAGTTTCTAATAAAATTTTGTAAACAGATCATTTCATGTTACTTACTAATTTGAATAATATTCCTGAGAAGCTTCTAGACTAACATAAACAAGTATATTATCTCTCTCTCGCTCTTCTGCGTTATATCAGCCACTTTATTTAATAGCTTACCGCGCATGTTTCAAATTAACTGCATTTCACGCCTTGTACTCCAATGCAACGATTCTCTGACCTCATATCGTAATTCTTTGTTCGACGAAAATATGTTCATAACGTATTTATTTATTGATGAAAGATTTCAGACTGTGCATCCATTAGGTTCTTCTGTAAATATGGATACGAAATAATTCTGGTTATGTACGACCAAATATACAGCATTCTAATTTAGTTCAGACGAATTTAATATGTAAGTACATACATGAAAGAGTTTCGTTCTCTTGATTAATCTGTCAGAATATCTATGGGTGAGTAGCGAATGCAGTGGTTTTGCTTTTATCGGAATAGACAAACAAACTCAAACAATCAGGAGATGTTGATTATAGCCTCATTACCAGCAATTTAAATGGGCAGGAGTACCTTCACGCGGTTGACTCACCCTAAAACTCATCTTAATTAACGCCTGGTGATATGATTTCATTTTCATGATGATGGCCCTGTCGTAAGTATTAGATGGCCGTCGTATACTGCTAGACCTGATGGAAGCATTTCATCATCAACTATACTTTTATATTAATTTTATAAGAAGAATAGATTAGATTTTTTTAAATCTTGGATTGTACTGATTTAAGAGAAAATATGCTAACCGATTATAAAACTTCTCACCTGTATCATCATCTGCTTCTTCCTTATCCCATTTATTTGGGTTCACGTAATATGTTTTTCTCTTCCATTCATTCCTGTTCGCAGTCATCTCGTTATTTACTTATTCTTTTACATACATAATTGTATACAAGGCAGATATAATGCCTGATGGCATTCTTTACCAGTCAACCATCGCGTTGATCAGAGATAGTATGGCGGTGTAATTTAACAAGTAGAAAGTATTGAGATATAAAATAGATATATACAGAAAATAATATATAATATGCGTATAAATAATATGTACTCCCTTTCTCACCTATAGTTGGCCATATTATTAACAAGTATTTCACACGGGCTGAGGAATGGGATATCAATAGTAGATTTAATAAAACTTTTATTGTTAGTTTCGTAGGAAACAGAATCATTGTGGGAACGGTATAAAGTACACACGCGAGCGAAGTCGCGTAATTTCCTTAAGGAAAGATAATAAATACAGGTCAGAAAGTACTGGCGTATTTACAATATGCCCAAAGGTCAAGCATTGTATATTACAGAAACAATTGTGTTAATAAATTAATGCAGTTATCAGAATATCCGGGTTGCTGTTTACCTTGTTTTCAATTAAAATCAGTTTTTGTAGGTAGCGGTTGCGGTTTAAATTACCCGTCCTTGATCTAATACTCTATATTATATGTTAAACAGTTTTATTTAAATTACAAGTTCTTGCTTTCTATCTTTTTTAATTTATTTGCAACCTATTAAGGTAGCCTCTAAATGCTGTGAATTATGACTCTAATGTTAAATAAATTGTGAAATACTGCATCGCATTCCAACGCAACGGATCGCAAGCATCGAAAAGCTTAAAAGTATTATTATAAATTTCGTCACCATATCCCACATTTCCATTACACCGTAACCGTATCGCGATAAAAGCGTCTACAGATAGTCGTAGATGCTTTTATATAGATTCATCATACTTGAATGGATTTAAAAACCTTTAACACACAATTTACCATATTTCTCATACGTGTTTTAGACTAGTTTTGAGGAGACTAAAATAATACGCTATATTAGCACGCGACAGCATTTGTATAGGCCAACTATTAACGATAATCAGTTTTTATAGGTCTACGTCCTCAATTTACTAACATATATGTTACGTCATACACTATGGCTTAAGATTAGATTAAAACCGCTGTATGCAATAAGTTTTTTATAAGCGATTAATCGAATAAATTGCTGTCCTGCACTGTTTAAATAATGCAAATTGCTT